TTTGTTCCTTACACAATCGTCTGATTTTCTTTTTAATTGTTAGCGACTACCCGTGCGAAATAGATAATTTGTCTATCGTTCATGTTAGCTTCAGTCAAATTATGAGCATCACTCATTTGCATGTCTATGCATACACACCATCCATCCATTTTTAATTCATTCAAATACAGAAACCCTACAAAATACTAACATGGGGTGGATTTCATATGAGTAAAAAATTGAAAAAATATCCACCTTACACATCCTTCGTATGAGTATCACGTTCCGTAAACAATAAAATCCGTACACACGGATTGATTTATTGAATATTATTTGCGCAAAGTAGATATCAACACGAAACTCACATCCAATTTTATACACGTAATTGCATCTGACTTTTGACGATCCCGCCGTTTAACCCAAGCAAATAAACCCGACCCATTTCCATAAATGTCCATTTTGAACCTCAACCAACTTCAAATACTTACAAGAAATGTACAGCTGAACATCCACTGAGATTCTTACAATTTGCAATACATTTCGAACTATCTCGATCATAGCTATTAGTTCCCCATTAAAATGATTGTATTTAAAATAATCCTATAATAAGCTAGCCCTCTTCCAAAGATTCCATTGGCTGTATCTTTTTTATGATTTTTCTTCAGGCCAAAGCATTCTCGGCACAGCACCTAGATCCAGAATTCTATCTAATTTTCAGTTCTGCAAATTTCACGGGTACCATTTTGGTGAATAATTTGGTTAATGTTTTGTAAAGATTTTTGATAGCATTTTTATTGGTGTAGACGTTACTTTTTCATTTCTTTACTTTGGAATGCCATTAGGGTTTCTGCATGATTTATCGGGTTATCTAAATATGAGCGGAAAAGTATGTTTTACGCTTTTGTTGGACATTATTTGTTTGATATATTGATTTTACTTAATTTCGCTGGGTTTCCACTTAATTGATCAATAATTATGTATTTCCTTGTAGGGGTTACAGTTTCATTTATTTTAGTGTGGAATGTTATTAGGGTACTGTATGGTTTTTTTGGGTTATCTAGACTATAGTTATAAGCTGAAAAGTATGTTACCTTTTCTTGGACATGAATTTTTTTTATCTTCAAATTACTTATAATCATTGTGTTGCTACTTAATTGATTCAGTGATTATGTAAATTGTTTTCGAGAATATCATTTATTCAACGTGTTACTTTCTTATAGCCAGTGATTTTTTCTTTTAATTATGGTTATTGATTATTTTCCTCGTGAATCATCTATAAATCTCTAATCTTTCTAAACTGTAAATCTTGTTTTGATGATCTTCAAATAATTACTCGTTAAATTTGTGATGGTTTCAGGTGTAAAATGGAAGGTATTATAGTTAGGAGAGTTATTCCTTCAGATAATAGTTGCCTCTTTAATGCTGTTGGGTGAGCATCGAAGCTTTATTTATTTTAGCTCGCCAAAAAAGGAGAAAGTTTGTATTCTGTACTTATAAGTCAAAATTTGGGGAATTTTCTAATGTATTTATTAATTAACTAATGAATATCGCGTGCAGTTATGTTATGGACCATGAGAAAAACAAAGCTCCTGAGCTAAGACAGGTTACAATTGTATTTTGATATGTATGCATAATAAGTAATTCTTAGATCACACCACTTGTGAGTCATTCGACATGCTGATGCTTTTAATGCTAAAACTTGTGATTTGAGATTCAAGTTATGGAGAGGGTGAAAGTTTATCATGAATTTATATTTTTTTGTTCTCAGCATTAATACAGAGTTTTTAAATTTTAAGAGAGAAATGAACAAAAGAAATATTGCACTCTGTTCCTTTCTGGAATGCGGTGTATGAGGAATGATTATTCAAACCAATGCATGGAATACTTAAATTGAGCATGTTTGCAGTAATGGGTCTATGTCCTTTTTTATTTATTTCTTTCTTTAAGCATGACATTATATACTTATTATTTAGGTTATAGCTGCAACAGTGGCAAGTTATCCAGAAAAGTTTTCTGAAGCATTCCTCGAAAAGCCTAATGAAGAGTATTGTGCATGGATTCTTAACCCAGAGAAGTGGGGAGGTAAGTTTAGCATTTGTTGCATATAGACGAACTTGGTATCAATGCTGAGGCAGCTGGGTTGAGAATGCAATTTTCTTGTGCACTTCCGAATTCTGGTTTTGAGTTTGCTTATATCATGGTTGGGAGTCCACCTGTTTTTCTACAAAGAATCTGCACCTTGGATCCATTATCACAAAGTGCAATATAATATGATAATGTTTATTTTTTATGGTTTTACAATATTTATACTTTCTACTTGTGTTAATTTTTCTCTCTTTTTCTTTTTTGCGATTTCCAGTGAAATTATAAGTTTTTACTATGTAATGTTTAAACAAACTACACTCAGCTTTACTAAGTGCAATATCTATTTTGATTTGATCTATCTACAAGGGCATTCGTGTCTTTTCTCATTTTTCATCCTTTGGGACGTAATTCGTTTCTTATATGAGCAATAAATAACACAAAAGTTAACGGCAATGACTAAAACTGATTTTGGCCTTATAGCTGGCCAAAGATGCTTTCCATGTGGTTAACTTTGTTGGATCTCCATCATGTGTGTGTGTCTCTCTCTCATCTGTGCACACAATCAAATTCCCAACTGAGGTATTTTGGAGATATCTTTGAAGCACCTTAACATTTCCTTTGACTGTTCACTATAAAATGCTAGCTTGTGTCAATAATCACTGATTATTGGGGGAATGTTGTTCCGGCATTGGAAATTGAGAGTAATATATCAAATATGAGCAGCCTTTCTTCCAGTGTAACAGATTTTGAGAGTGATTCGAATTTATATTTTTATCACATAGGTTTGCCTTTTGATCTTTTATCATCAGGAAAGTGGTTGGATTGGGGATTTACTGGATACCTTCAAACAATTCTAAGGTCTCTTTTTGAGGAGATGAAAGTTTATTTATTTGCTAGAAAGTAGTTCGGCCTGATCATTCTTAACCTTTAGCTGCAGGAGGTTGTGCTGGACTGCGCTTTTAAGGTGTTGGGTGTAGGGAGAAGAGAAAGTGGTGGGTGGTTAGTGTTGATGGAGAGGATAAGGCTTGGAGTAGGATAGAAGAGAAATAAATGCATGATCTTACCAGGAGAGAGAAAGGAGAATAAGGGGAAAGAGAAAATGATGGAGAACATTTCATGTCATAGCATATCTTTGAACATAAGGAACTAAAATGTAGAATAGAAAGAAAAAGAAATAATGAGAGTTCTACGCGTCAGCTTCTCAGCTCCATGGTTTTTGTATGCAGTCACACTCATTCTGAGGTTATTGTTCTATGCAACAACAAGAAAAAAAAAAAAACCTAACAACATAAGGTCACTTTCAATTTAGGGGCTTGTTGCTTTTTCCTAATTGCTAAATTTAGTTACACATACGGAATAAAATATAAAATCCAAATGATGGAATCTGGGTGATTATCATGTTTAAGTTCTTAAGAAATTATCTCAACGGTTGTTGAGATAAATCCCTTTTCTGCATCCACGATGATGACACTCGTTTTTTGTGGGATCAGCGCCTCTTGGAATGTAAAAACGTTTTTCTGGCTCTTGGATTGCATTGACATTTTGCTTTCATAGGGTTATTTGTTACAGTATTGCACTATGATATATCAAAGCTTTTTAATTCATCCGTATGGTTGAACTTTCTCTTGGTCTTTTATCTTAAGGTGGCATTGAGCTTGCAATATTGGCCGAGTATTATGGGCGTGAGATAGCAGCATATGATATACAAACCTCCAGATGTGATTTGTATGGACAGGTTAGCTTTGAATATCTCTTCAGCAATTCTTTATAAGATCGAGGCTGGATTTTTTACTATTTTGGACTCTTCGTTCTCTGGGATTTACTTAACAGGAAAAAAACTACAGTGAAAGAGTTATGCTGATATATGATGGACTCCACTATGATGCTTTGGCTGTATGTTGTTTCCTCTCTCAACCTCTCTCTCTCACTCCCCTCCCCCCCTCTAGACATTATACTCTTATGTCTGAGAGACCCCGTGTGTGAGTGCACGTTATAAGTCATTTATGATCAATAAATGGGTTCATTCGTGGAAACTAACCTGCTACCTACCTATGCTTGTGGCCATCCTTGTATACAAGCTAATAAGATTCAGTAGATTTTGACCACCAGATTGAACATGATCCATTCAACTAATCATGTAATTTAAGAGACGGAAAAATGTGATTAGTGATCTGATAGCAAGATTTAAGTGCTTCAAGAGGTAAAGATAGCACATGGTGGCATGAGTAAGATTTTAATGTCTATAATTTCTGGGTTTCCGAGTTATTTAAATTATACTTGTAAGCATGATACCATGTCTACCTTTCAATAGATGTCTCCTGCTGAAGGAGCTCCAGAAGAGTTTGATCAAACGATATTTCCGGTACTCGAGGACAGGACCTTGGGGTCAGCTGAGAGACTCGCCCTTAATCTGGTTAGAGACCAGCAAAGGTAGCATGATAGATTTCTTATCAGTAATTGCTTGATAAAATATATTTAATAATAACCCCATTGTTCTTACTCCAAATGTTAAGTGTAAATAGTTATTGGAATGTCTGTTATTATTGCCGGTTCTGCCTCTTTCATTTCATTTGTCTCTGTTATGTTGGTTCTTTATAGGCAATATAATAGCATTTTGTTATCTTTACAGGAGGAGGAGTTACACTGACACTGCCAACTTCACGTTGAGATGTGGTACCTGCCAAATTGGAGTTATTGGACAGAAGGTTTTAAGCTTTTCATCTTTTCCTTTTACTAAATAGTTCACTTTTTTATTTTATTATAACAAAATTTCTTTATTGGCTAAAGTTGATGATAAGTTACTTATTTTGACATTGAGCAATGGGGTTAGTTTGAAGATTAAAAAGTAAGAAAAAAGTAACATATGTAAAGCATAGCCAAACATACTCTCAATCCCGACTTGAAAATTTCAAGTTTTTACAGTTCTTGTCGTTATTTTCGTGTTTAACTTTGCAGGAAGCAGTGGAGCATGCACAAGCAACAGGTCATGTGAACTTCCAAGAATATAAATGATAAACTGAGTGAAATTCTATTCATCTGTTGCCATACACTTGCATTTACTAATGTCATTTTATCAAGTTATGAAACTGTGTTGTGATTTGTGGAAGAAGAAAACTTTCAGACTCGGTTGCGTTTATTGGATCCTTTGTGTTTAATAAATTTTGAATTTGATAAGGATACAAACAGACATTTGAATGGAAAGTATTATTGAGTCCTAGTGTTGATCCCAAGTGCATCTTTCATACAGGGTATTAGATCGTACGTAGAAGAATAGTTCACAGAATTTTATCTTAGATCCTTAGTCAAAACACCTTATCTTTTCTCAACCTACCTTTTCAACCACACACTCTTCTGGAAAATAACTTTACACCTAAATTCATTTTTTTTAACCACATATTTTCTAGAAAATCACTATTCCAAAAAATATTTCCACAAAAATGGGGATCGAATAGGGCATAATCTTTTCATAATCAAACTCACTTTAGGAGTTGAAGACGTTTAGCATGTTAAACATGTTGAAGTTAAGAATATTAATCATTACTCTTTTCAATATTCCTTATTGATCACCCACATCTCGTCTAGTACTTGTAACCTTAATCATTACATTATTCAGTACTGCTTATTGAACACCCACTTCTCGTCTAGGACTTGTTACATTACAAGCCATACGTATATGAAATGAATAGATGAATGCCAGCCCCTCGGGGTATAGTCCAGTGGTGCAAAGGATAGGAGTGAGTTATCTCACGCCTTGTTGGCAGTCGCAGTGAGGGGGTTCGATTCCTGAGACATGGAATTTGACTCATTGTAAGCGCAAATGTACAGATAATAGTACTTGTAACCTTAATCATTACATTATTCAGTACTGCTTATTGAACACCCACTTCTCGTCTAGGACTTGTTACATTACAAGTCATACGTATATGAAATGAATAGATGAATGCCAGCCTCTCGGGGTATAGTCCAGTGGTGCAAAGGATAGGAGTGAGTTATCTCACGCCTTGTTGGCAGTCGCAGTGAGGGGGTTCGATTCCTGAGACATGAAATTTGACTCATTGTAAGCGCAATGTACAGATAGCTCTTGTTCCTTGGCCTGTTGGGCTACATTTCGCGATTTACCTCTCTCACAAAGCTCTAAGGACAGGACAGGACGGTTGGGACCCTCAAGGTTGGGGTTTAACTTTTTTTAATGAATAGATGAATGCCCTTATCACACACGAGCAATTATTAGGTGAGCAAGCGGATAAGTATTTCCAGATAAGTGGATATGATCTTTATTGTCAGAAGAGGATATGCAATTACATTTCAGTAGAAACCCCATGACACGATCAAAAAGGTTCTTTAAAACTCACAAAAACTACGATTTTTTTGACAATCGAACACAAAAAACCTCGATTTCTCAATCCTTAGAAACCATGAATCTTAATCTGACCCTTCTTCACAATGTTGGCATTGATGAGAAACTGAGAAACATTCTTACGCTGATCGCCTTGGAGCTGAATCACCTTACCGAGCTCTTTGTCCTGAACAACATTACCGTTGCAGCAGAACTCCTTTTTGAGGTCTTTAAGAATCTTATCGTAGCTGAATTCCTTCCTCAGTCCCTGAACAGTCGTTAGGCTTTTCTTTCCATTCCTTTGTTGTATGCGAATATGCACATACTCCTTGGCTCCAGGAGTGCCCGAGTCATCCGAGTCCTTGGCCTCGGAAAATGGATCGAAACCAGTTGGAAACTGTGAGTCGATATCAACCATGCAGAACCTTGTAAGACCAAGATCTAAGTGTGTTCAACGAATGAAAGAGCTGCGTATGTTACATACAAATGATTAGTTCACAAATAACTCCAACAAAATGACTAGAATTTGGGTAGGCTACATCAATCATTTCTATCTAAAGAAGTCCATTAAAAGAATCAGACATTAGTCAATACGTTTTGTACACAGTCACAGTTTGGTTTAGATATAAATCAAATTTATAGCAAATTTTGATAAAAGTTGATAAAATGTATTATAAAAAATGGCGAATTCATTAAAATTAATTGTTAATCAACTTTTTTAATTGAACCAAACATGGATCGGTTACCTTATCCATTTCGACCAAAACAAGTCAATCGAAAAAGAATCAGATAGTGCATGTTTAGTACACGCTATCACATAAGACACGTGGGTAGATAATTTAAGTAACGAGATTTTCCACTTCTTTCTCTTCATCAATAGGTGCTACCAAACATGCCAAGAGATACAAGGAAAAGGACCAAATCACCTTAATTTCTCCAACCCACAACCTTGATTTTTCCAAACTGCACGCCCCACCACATCCCCAAATCAAGAATTTCACATTCAAAAATTCAAGAAAACTAAACACAGAAACAAAGAATACAAGAAACATACAGCAATTCACAAAATAGAAAACCCAGAAATATAAGATCATCATCTTATAATTCAAAAACAAAAATGTTAATAAAATGAATAAGAAAACCCAGAATGTGAGATGGCGTACCTCAAAACTCGACGGGTATTATGAATTCCCAGGTTTGGCGTGGTATGAATTTATAGGAAAAGGGAAGGCAGTGGGTTGTCTTTTCATTTGGATCGCTCAAAAAGACAAACCACGATTAAGTTATATTCTAACCATGGTTAATTTTTAGGCTTCACGTGAAAATGAACGGCTGAGATTCTTTTGATGGACCCATCTGTGATGAAAAGAGACGCGTAGATTCAACGCGCAAAGACTAGATTTTGACTCGGAAGGATAAATTTCAGGATGGGAGGAGATAGTGGGCCCCGCCATCCGCATAATTATCGAATCATAATTGGATAAAACTTGCCTGTTTTACGCTGACACGTGACAAGGAAATGTTCATCGCAGTAGCTCTTTATTTTTTATTATTTATTACAATCCTTGTTCCTTGTCTTGCTGGGTACATCCCGCGATTTACCTCATTTACAGAGCTCTAGAAATAGGGCGGTGGGGGTTCTCAAGGTTGAGGTTTAACCTTTTTCTTTTTACATTCTAGCTTTACATTTGAGTGTTTGAGAGTTATTTTTATGTAAAATATATTTTGAAATAGTAAATTGATGGAAAATATGCGACTAAAAAATAATTTTTTTGATTTACTTGTAATATTATTTTAATGAAGAATGTGTGATTGAAAAGAAGAGAGAGAAAAATGCATTTTGAAAAAAGGGGGTACCAAACGGGAGCTTAGAGACTGTTTGGTAGCCATTTTCACTTATCCAAAATTAATTATTCGAACGTTGCCACCCACTTGTCTGACACCCCTGCATCATTATACAGTACATCATTTTTTCTCTTTCCCTCACAATCCCCCTCCCACTTGCCACCCACTTGTTTGACAACCCCTGCATGCATAAAAAAGTACATGAATTTTTCTCTCTCTCACAATGCCCCTCCTACCGACACTTTCTTTCACCAACCTTCAGCTCCAAACCCGGCAAGAGTCTACCTACCCAATACACTGGCCGAATATTTCACCTTCCCATGCCGTGAACACGTCCCATAGCAACCGTCACCAATTCCTATCAGTTCCCAGCTGTACGACGACGCCAAAACGACACAGCGCCGGTGACAAACAATGGATCACGTCGAGAAACAGGTACGAATACTACAATCTCCTTCCCTCCTTCACTTCCCCCTGGTTTTCGTCGCTGTTGACCAACTCTTCTACTTCGCAGGCAGGACACCTTGCTGGAGGACCTTCCTACCCTGCAATGAGGACGTCCGACAACCGGCCACGAAGTCATATCCTTGCTGGAGCCCAGATGCCAATCGAGCCTTCATTGCAGTGTGCGAGATCGCCATTGCCGAGGGGCACCGAAATAGGAGGTGTTTCACCAAACACGACTGGAAACGGGTTGGCTCACTCTTCAACTCAGTGACCGGCCATAACTAGAGCCAACAACAATTGCGAAATCATTGGGATTCAATGCGCCGAACATACAAGCGTCTATCAGAGCTTGTCAATAGCAGTGGAATCGAGTATAACGACGCTACCAGTCGAATCGTTACTTCTGAAGAATGGTGGAACCGAAACATTAAGGTAATGGATTCCCAATTTCTCAACAACCCGTTTTCTTGCAAGTGAGATTACTGCGCCTGCTTACTGCCTTTCTAGTGCATTGTTGTGTCTTTACATTTGCATCAGACATCTTAGTCTGAAAACTGAATTGTATTGTACAAAAAAACTTTATTATACTTCTTACTTAGCCTTTAACTCATATTCAATTTTATCTGTTTTGATGGCAAGTATTGTGAGTATGGATGAAAACACTGCCGCATTAGGTTAATGCCTAGACTAGCATGAAATGTCTGGTATTCGTTATATGTCCTTTTCACTGAACTTGTTTTCTCGCACAATGTATAGAATGCTTTGTGCTGCTTCTAGGAATATAAATTCATGTGTGCAAGCCATAAATCCAAACATTAATTTTGGCATTTGTTCCAGTTATCATAAAGTCTTTTCCTTTTGCCCCTTTACATTTCTCCACGCATCAAGGCAACCTCATACAATTTTCTTTCTCCCTTAGTAATGGTAAGAATGTCTTAGTTGTTGTTTCAATTTGAGGTGATGCCTATATTTCATGTTCATGATAAGTAATAACTTGAATGGACGAGCAAGGATTTCCTCCAACAATGTTGACGGGTGACCGACGTGGGTGATTAACAAGAAATGTGATAAAGTACCTCTTTAAGATCTATGGTTAAATTAAAAAATTTAACCTGACGGTTACATCAAGGGAGAAGTCACTTTATTCGGATTTGCTGAATAGATGTTGTTATACTATCAATCGTTGATTCTTTATTGTATGAAACTTTAGTATCTGAGACTTGCTTCATCATCAGTGATGGGTATACCTATAGTTTAGTGTAGAGTAGTATTACTGCAAGCTTGAGTATCTCATTAATGCTCAGCTTGTTTCAATGGAAGATAGTGAGAAGAAAATATGAATTTCCTGGATTCCAACTCAAATTGATATTCTTTCGCTTTTTACTTTATTTTTGGGTAATGTCTCTTTAAAGTGCCCACCTCATGTCTATGAACTGACTTGCTTGTGTCGTTTACTTCGTACTCAATATTAATTTTTCTCTAACGGTTGTTTATATTTTTTATACATTTCGAATTGCGTTTCCCTGTTGCAATCTCATTGTAGGTCCTGATTTATGCAGGAGAACGTGATCTATAAAGACTTCAAAGATAGAGACGTCAAGGAGATATACATAAAATATCGTCAGCTATTCGACGACAGCTACGAGGCAGACAAGTACGCTATCACACAATGAAGTTGTGCAGAACGGGATTTAGCCTGAATGAGGATAGTGTGCTCGAGGACAATAGGGATGCAATCCCGGTGGACGATGAGAGCAGTGGTTCAAGTGACGAAGCCGAACAGATGGGGGTTCGTGCCTGCTATAACGTTTCTAGCACCACAGATAGCAATAAAAGGAAGTCTTCTAGCGAGCAGCGGAGGGGCAGGAAGAAAAAGATGTCTGCTCATGAACTGTCCTTCTCAGTAGTCCGCGCCACCAGTGCGACGGAAGAAGTGATGGCGAAGATTCATACAATGATGACTTCAAATAAAAGCGCTGGCGTGAACTGTGTCAAAGAGTTGCTAGCGACAGGCCGGCTCGAGCGGTGTACACCTTTTTACTTTTACATATGCCAGTTTCTGGCCCATAAGCAGTACAGTGACATGCTCGCCATCATGAGAGACGCGGATGAAAAATTTGAGTGGATCGAGTGGATGTTGAAAGCCTAAGATGGTTATAGTAATTTTTTCGAAGAATAGTTTTATGCATACAATTAATTCTCACTTAAATGTAGCAATTAGTCAAATATGAATAGGAATGAAGACTAAGATAAATTCACAAGTAATAAATAAAAACAAGGATAAGTAAAAGGGAAGAGAAGTCAAACGATATGATATGGAGGTTCAATCCAATGCAATGATCTACGTCCCCTGTTACCAAGCTCTCCGTCACGAGCAAGGAATTTTTCACTAAATTGATTGATTTATGATGCAATCCAACCTTCTTACAATACTTTCGGTGACTAACAAGCAAGGAGTACCGTTTCTTTACAATGTTGAAATTTTCGGGACTTCAACCCGAACGACAAGTTTGAAAATAAAGAGTTTATAAATAGAGACTTCTCTTGTAATGAATGATTTATTCGGAGTTGAGTACAATAAGAGAAGGAGGTTAACACTT